GCATCAGTTTCCAGTTGCAAGGACTGCTGGTTCCAGTGGATAGCACCTTCCTTGTTTCGCAACCACCATAACAGTCACTTAGTCACAACGACATAACACGTCCATTCTTGGATGGATATTGGAGGAAGCCTGAACATCGAGGAAGGTCATTTAAACACCTGAAGCCAGAATCAGGAGGCCCTGCTCCAGATGGGAGGAGGGACCACTTCCCTCCTGGGTGGGAGCTTGGTGGTTCTCTTCCCACACCTCTCCCTCCCACTCCATGTTCCAAACAAGCCAGTTAGAAGCAGGGTGGATATACCTGTGATGGGGTTGGTGGGCTGTGGGCTCCACTATTCATTGCCGTGAATAGCTACAAGAGAAGACCATGTGTATGCATGTAGCCTTAAGACAGGGAGTATACATCACTATGAGGCATGAGAGAAGAGGTCTTAAGAGCTCGGAAACATCAACAGTGCAGTGTACTGACAGCCAGCAGAAGCAACACGGGGCAACCAAAAAAAGGTCTGTTGAAAAGCTGAGTATTTCTTGATATTTTTCAGGAAGATTAAAGAACAAGGTGAAGAGCCAGGGGCGGCATTCAGGAAATCTGTGTAAACAGGGCTAACTTTATGCTAATCACCAGAATAGGAATGAACACTAACAATTTGCTGGACACAGACATACGTCCATACGTATGCATGAATGTATGTGCTGAACACTTCCTTTGAAAAAGTAAAGCAAACATTATTTCAATGATCCCAGAAAGTTCCTTTGAACATTTAAGTGATGGCAATAATTTGGAGGACTACTTTTGCAAAACTCATCCCAGAACCTTTTTTTTTTGAGTTGGGGGTCTTACTCAGTCGCCCAGGCTGGAGTGCATGTAGCACCATCACAGCTTGCTGCAGCCTTGACCTCTGGGCTCAGGCGACCCTTCAGATTCCTGAGTAACTGGGACTCCAGACAAGCACCGCCACACCTGGCTGATTTTTTTTTTTGTAGAGACAAGGTTTCGCTATGTTGCCCAGGCTGGCCTCTAACTCCTGGTTCAAGCAATCCTCCCCCTCTCGATCTCCCAAAGTGCTAGGCATGCAGCCGTGAGCCATCATGCCCAGCCCCAAAACATTTTTTTTAATGATAAAGTCATCTGAATAAATTCAGGAGCCAATAAGCAAAATATACAAGGTAGCATTTTCAAAAATATTAAGTTATGTGCTACAGCTAAGATCAACTGCCCAGCTCTTTCAATCAACTCTTTTGAGCTTAAAAAAAGGTTGCTCATAATCCAAGGCTTCCTCTGTTTAAAGACGAAAAACAGTTTGGCTGGAGTATAATTATCGCTATTATAATACTACTTTGAATGACATTTTTATCCACCCAAAAAACATGGCAATAAGGGAGGCTTCAGCATTCACTTATTTGCAATGCTAAAATGCACTTGGTATTATGAAAATTAGAATTACATTCATATCACGGCTTAAAAGGCAAGAGGACATAGGACACAGATATAGCTTTAAGAGGGGGGAAACCCATCTTCAAACTATTTATAGTACTATTTGGCAAAATAAAAAATATTTCTCTCAGCAATATGCTTTATTTCCCCAGTTACTGTTAGATTTGACAAGGGTTCACATTTCCATTCTGCTGTCTTACTGACCCTGCAGGTGTTTAGCCTTTGTGAATTGTAGTTCTGCCACTTACTGATGCAATGAAAGTGTTAACCTATCAACTTTAGGAGAGTGTTGTAAGAGTTACACTGAGTAACATGAAAGGCTTATGCATATGTCTGTCTCAGAAGTACAATTCTATCATTACCATGAATTTCGATGACTCCGGATAAGAAAAAACAATCTCTAATTGCAGAAAATAATTTTCTTATAAAGAAGAGCCAGACTTTTCCTGAGACTGGTATCATTAATATTTCAGATTAAATTATTTGGATTCTACAACATTAAGCATCAAGTTATAGTAAATCTTAGTAAAAGGCATTTAATTATTATTTTGGCCACATAAATTTAGAAATATAAATGACAGTTTCTGGGCAAAAGCAAGAGGTCATTCAAGGTCATTCAGGAATTTTAGAGCATACTAAATTGGGGCGAAAGAAAGACCCTGAGGATCTTTCATGTAATCCCATGTGTCTTTTCTTAGAAGAAAAGTGAGTGCTGAAGACACTGAATAACTTTGCTCAAGTTGTACAGCTAATAAGGCTCAGAAGATATAAACATTCTGATTATATTTCCTCTTTTTGGTTTACAATGTTTCTTCTACAACCAGATGACTTTGATTTTTCCACAAGTTTGCTATTTCAACTGTTTTAGGCAACTACTAATCTCTCTAATCTCCCTATTAGGCTAATTATCCAAAACTACTTTCTCTTTCTTCCTTCCCATGAAAATCCTGATTTGTTACTCACATGGCAATATAGTCAATGAAAATGAACCCTATTCTTGCCCCAGGAGATGAATCAGGGGACGAACCAGGTTTGATCTAGCAAAAAGCTAGTTCCATTCTACCTTGCTGGTGGATGAGTTCAGTGTGTAACCAACAGAACCCCCGGAAGAACCACCATGGCGAGGCAAGTCCTCTTCCCGCCTTCTTTAGTGGTTTGTCCTGAGCACACGATGCGGCATGCAGCCATCACCCCTCTATTATGAGACAGCCAACAGCTCCATAGAGAGGATCCCCCAGAGCACCGACACTGCTGTCTTCATCAAGCCCCAGTCAAGCCCCCATCATGCTCTGGATTAAATCACTGCACAAACAATAAACCTCTATCTAGCCAGGTAGTCAATTAAGTTTGTGGCCCAAAACCTCCAAATATAAAACTGCAGTATTTGATAGCAAAATCATCTTATCTAACTTCTACAATAGAAGACTTTACCTCATACCAAGTAATATTAATGCATAATTTTAAAAATTAGAGTTTTGTTACAAATCAATTAGGAGTTTACTAAGAAAGATGTTGTTTAGTGATCTACAAAATTTAAAACTTCAGGATTTGATTAAAGAAACTAAAATTATACAATAACTATTTAACAGTATAGAGACCTGAACTTATATCCATTCTAAAAATTTATAAAAACTTCAGAAAACTGAGTTTCAAAAAGTTCAATGACATTCTCTAAATGTTTATTTCATTAATTTAATTTCAGAAAAACACCACTGTCACAGTAGCATAAAGTTTAGAAACATTTTATTATCTATTAAAAGTCAGTGTATTTTATATGACCAAACAGTATAAATGTCACTCTACACAAACATCCATTTCCTCTTAAACCCCATGTGATTCCTTACCATGGAGGACAAAATCACAACAATTTACCACCTTAAATTTGAAGAATGGTCAAAGATAAAACAGATAAAACCATTTTTGAATTCCACTCAACTACTCAGAAAAGGTCACCAGAAAAAGGCTAAGGGCCCTTCATGAAGGTTTTTGTCAACACCCTCAGAGTCACTAAAGACAAAAACTCTCAAGAAGGGATACTGAGAAATAAACTGATGATCAAAACAATAAATGAGCAAACTTTCAAAATTTAGGATAATTAGGTTAAATTTAACAGAAAAGTAATGTTGGTAATTATGAACTTTGTAACGTGGAGAAATTAGCAGCACAAATAAAATTATGGTTCAAACTTTCTCGCCAAGATAAGATTTGTTAGTGCTATTAACACAAAACCCAAACCAAAAAGCTCTCAGGAGTCAAACAGAACAGAAAGACTGCTTTCCACCCTTTCCTACATCTATCTGTACCATGTAGATACTTTCAGTTCTAAGGGAGAGAGACTGTCCAGGACATTCTGGGTAAAGGGACCGGACCTTCTGTGCAAAACAAATTCTGAACTAGGTTCATGTTTCCAGCTAAAGTCTGAATGTCTTCCAAACTGGATGGCACTCACTTAGAAAACATTTAGGAGAAGAAAGTGATGAAAGCATTTTGGTTGTTATCCAATGTTATAACTGACCAGTTCAGCCTACGATACAAATCTATTGAGATAATCGGCATTTTAAAAATATGGCAAAAATTTTTCATATCTACCTAACATTAAATGATATGGGCACAGTGGTATGTATAGGCGTATAGAAAAACAGAAAAGAGATGAGAGCTCAAATGAGCTTGCACAGGGTGGTTTCTAGGTGTTGCCACAACAACTTTAAGAATCACATGACTCTTCACAGCTCTCGGCCCTCACCTTACATTTGTTTCCAGAAAAAAAAAAAATTTCATCAATGACTACTAGAGTAAATGATATACTTTCAGCCATGATTTGGTAATTTTTAAAAGAAATATTGGTCACTGGAGAAACATTCAAGGAGAAAAAACTGTCCATATTTCCACTCTTTCTAAAACTATCCCACATGTCAGTCCTGAATATCAAATCTACTAAATCTTAAAGTTTTCAAACTCCTCAAACAATATCTTTACTGAGACTAATCAGACAAAAATTAACCCAAGAGTCTTTGCAAAACACTCACTATGATTATTTATGGAAAGCAAATTTGATCTTATAATCAAGCTAGATATATTACAGACTGAAATGAAATGTCTTAAGTTCACAAAAAGGACCCTTACTGAAATACACACGAGTATTTAGTGAAGTGTCATGATTTCTGTAACTTACTTTCAAATGGGGTTCACCAAAAGGAACAGAGAAAAAAACCCACATGTATATAAAAGCTGTGTAAATACAGAGAGAAAGCACGTGTGACAAAATGCTACCAATGCCGAGCCTGTGAAAGGTATGTTGGCAGTCAGAGTATTTTGTCAACTTTCCTGTGTTTGAAAACGTTAAAGCAAAAGCTGGGAAGACAAAGGCCCCTGCTGGCTTCTGTACCCCTGACTGTTAGTCATCACCCTGAACACATACCCGTGCCTTCCTTTTGCCTCAACATCTTTTTGCCCTCGTTTAAAACAACAGTTACAAAACTGTGTTAGGTCTTGTAAACAGAAATCATGACTCTAGGAAAGAATTTCATAAAACAATCTTAGAGGCTGCATCAGTGAACTGTTTTACCTGAAAGTTAACATCTTCTTTCTTAAATATGAGTGCTCGAACTTCATCCGGATCTCCGTTAAATATAGCTTGTACCAGTGATGGCTAAAATACAAGAGAGCAATAAAAACATTAGTCAGATCACATGGATGATTCTAAAGATATTTCTTCAGAACTTCTAAAGCTACCAGTTGTCTTTCCTGTAGCAATAATCACTTTCTGACATTCACCAAAAGTTTCATAAAGCCAGATCATAGCAAAGTACAGGATTCCACCTTGGAAAAAAAAAAGGAGGGCCTTTTGAGGAAACTTGGTAAACAAGCAGTCCCTGGCCTGGAAGATAGGCGCCTTTGCAAAGGTTTGTTTGGGCACCAAAATAACTTGCGTGGATTAGCATTACCTGTGTAAACATATAAACCCCAAGACAGCAGACTTGGCAGCTGGTGAAAATAGCTACTACTCAAAGGCCAAAAACAACAACAACAAAAACAAAAAACTGCACACCCAAATAAGACAAAAAGACACATGCATATTTAAATATAATGATTTCCTAATCAGCGACACAGTCTCTTGATAAGGTATTATATTATATTAGTCAAGAAGGAGCCAGCTGACAACACTAAAAACAAGGCTAAAAATGAAGAATGAATCAAATACAGAATCTTTATGTGATTCTCTTTCATATAAAGTCTTACATGTAAATACATAAAATTTATTACAGAAAAGCCATGCCTTGATGCTGCTGGTAGTAGTCAACCTTTTCTAAAGTATGCAGAGTTGCTGATTCTTATTGCATCAGTTTCTAAAACCACAAAATGAAAACAGAAACGTGGTTGCCATACAACTATTTCTCACATTATTTTAAAAATGTCTCTTAAAAACATTAAGACACAATAAAATCTGAAATGTTATCTAAGCATTTGAAAAGTAATAAAAAAGTGCTCATTTTATACACAAATAATACCACATATCTACCCACATACTGCTATAACTGGGGTTTGTCATAAAACCAGTGAAAACTTATGTTTATTCTTAAAAAAAATAAGACTTACACACTAGTTCAGCAGACTATAGTAAACATATAAACTCTCATATCTTACCAACGCACGTGTGGACGGTGGCGAGTGTAGGGATTTACTTTCCTGTGGCAAGTGAGAGATGAACGCGGGGGATTCATCTTCTACCTCCTCCAACACAACAATACACACTCGACTCATTCGCTCCTTTAGAGCACTAAATTCAAGCTATGTGATAAGAGTCACAGCTGGGAGAGCACAAGTCGTTTTTCCTCCTCTTCTGTACAACACTTACAAACATTCTCTGAACAGCGCAGCTGGGTTTTTAAAGTTAATAAGCACTAACCGAAAAACTGAAGCTTAAAATTATGACTACATAACTTGTAACTTCCTAAAAATAGCAAAATTATATTATTTTCTATCAGGTCACTGCAATACTTAAATTTCGCATCAATATGTCAAAAACCAAAACTGAGTCCAGTACAAGCTCATTTAGAAAATCTTTCCCCCACCAAAACAGTCATATTGCTCTATCTCTGAAATTTACTTGCAGAAAACAGTACTTGCTTTTGGTGACACACCACCACACGATGTAGAATGAAATGAGACACAACTGCTGTGACAGGGACGATCACAGCTATACCCACTCTTGCCTGCAAGGTCATGTAGTTACCAGTAGCTGTCTTGCTTATAATTGAAAATAAAAAGAAAAATCTCACTATTCTGTTTCCACTTCTAATTTGTCTTCATGTCTTCAGCTTCACTGGTTTAATGCAGACTCTATCCAGAAAAAAACAAAGACCTAGAGCTCGGCACAAATCCTGAAAAGGAGGCTCAGAGGTTGACAATTCTTGCTGTGTTTGGGAAGAAAAAAATACTCTGCATTAATAGCAAAGCTGCAGTACATTTACATGTGATGAGTCAGACCACAAGAGACAATAGGACTCTTGGTACTAGAATACAGCTTGATTAATCCAGATCGCCCATATAATAGAAGAAACACAGATCACTGTATTCCCATCGACAGATACACAAGGCAGAGCGCTCATTCTCTCTCCATCAGGCAGCTGTCGGGTGGCACTGCCACCAGGCAGAAATGGTGTCAGTGGAGAATCCTAATCGAACAAGCAGGCAGCGAAGGAATTAGAAGGCATCTGAGCTCAAATTACTGCTTCGGGCTTTTTGTTTGGTTAAAGAGAGAGAGAGAGAGAGAAAGAGAGAGAGAGAGAGAGAGAAATACCCCAGTAGTTTATCATTCCAGTGTTTCCTTTGATCTCCACATGAATGCAGCTTCCATTAAATAGTCTTCATTCAGAGAAAAAAAAAAACCGCAGACTGTGCATCTTCTTTGAGCCAACTACTTTATTCAATCATCTGCTTCTGTGCCAATATAGTTTCCTTCCACTGTGAAAACCGCTATTCTTTTCAGTGGATTTCAGCTTTCCTGTGCCTCAGATGATTTTGCAAAATGCCACCAACACCCCCAAATGAGGAGGTCTTTAAGGATATCCAAGAATCTCAGGATCAGTCCCACAGAAGCATTCCAACTGAGCAATAGTCTGAAGAGCAAAGACTGCAGACCCGCAGGATGAAATGCCTAGTAATGCTCACATGTTACACTTACCAGAGAGCTGAGCTACTGCTCGGATGTAACTTCCTCTGGCAGGAGAAAAAAATAGTGCAGTTGGACAGCCTTCACAATTAGAAGGTTCATGCCAGTTCTGTGACTAATCCAGATCAAACTGAAAATTCTATAACTGAAAAATGAGTGCGCTTTTAACATTTTCCACTAAAAGCCACAAGGAAATCTGGTGTACTGCCTCTGCTGACTAACACTGGTTTTAGCAAGTAAACAATTCCAAGCAGCTTAACTGCTTTCGTATGTTAAAATATAGCAAATGTTTAACCCTATAATGACAGCTGCAATAAGAAAATGTTTGCAGTGAGCTCATACAAGAGATTTAGAGATGAAGAAATATTCCATGAGGCTATAAAAACCACGAAGCAAAGTTTTATTTTAACCAAGACCCATTTCTCAATCTGCCAGATGTATGTTATTTTCTAGAATGCAAAGAAACTTAAATGAAATTTAAGATTTTTAAAAAATAATTTCTAACCTGGTGAATTTAATCAATTATTGATTCGTATTTTTAAGGACAAAAATAAGAATTTCATAATGTAGAAATCCTAACTCTAAAATGCTAGGAATCATCTGAATTTTCACTGAACAAATTAAATAATCCTACTGGAACCTATTATTATTCCCATCTACTATGGAAGAAAGTCTTAAAATCTGTCAAAGAGCTACATGAAAAAAGTCCTTGGTTCTGAACTATCTATGTCAAAAGGGCACAAGGGAATGCAAAGAAAACAAAGACTCTCCCTCCCTACAAGGTAATTTTCCCAAAGCTACAAATAAGAGTTAAGTCCACTTCATTCTGTAGTTGTTTCCCTCCCCTGCTTTCTCTGCTTATTCAACAAGGCTATTTCCCCACAGAAAACTTGTAAGGATAATACCACAATACCCCTTCAGCATATGTTTTCTTCCATGAACCAGTATGGTTATTAATAAACATAAAAAATTATTTTCGAACATTTATGATGTGCTAGGCACTGTATTTGTATTTAATACAATAACTTGATGTATTTCCCTTATAGAGGGAAAACCAGACTCATAAATGAAGAATTTTTATCCACAGTTATGCAAATTAGTAAAGTTGTATCTAATTCCAAACACATGCTCTTTCTAATCTCTTCTGCTCCCACTGGGTGTACACACACACTCTCATCCCTAATCCTCCTCTTCCTCCTCTTCTCCCCTCCCCCCCAGATCTTTGTAACCTGTGATAGTAGCTAGTAATAAGTGATCCTAACAGACAGGTAACTTTTAATCGTTGTGAAAAGCCTAGGTAACAAAGGAATATGCTGTTTACTGCAATAAAATTCCAAAACAAGTTATTTTTAGATGAATGTTTCAAAGCATGTGTTTAAGCCAGTTTACTTAACAAACCAAAAAATTAAGAAAAAACTCCAGCATGAAATAGATAATATAAGAATGCCAAATTTAAAAACAAAAACCACTGAAAGGTACAGAACATATTAATCCATGAAAGACTCTATAACACCAGCATATCTGTACCCAGATACTTAAAATATGCTAACAATTCACAATTGTATTTTAAAATATATAAAATGCTTTTAAGTGAAATTGGATATATGCAAACATTTTAACATAGATAAATAATATTATCCATCTCCACAAGGCTGAACCAAAAAATATCATTTTAATATCTGAAACACCTGAAAATGAGATAACTAGAGAAACAATATCCGATATTCCATTTCAGGGTTCCTTCTCCCCTCAAAGTGAACTCTTTGAATGAGGACAACCAACTTACTCCAAAGCCTCTACTTAGACTCAGGCAGGTACAACCTCCATACCAGGTCTTTCCCAACTTGAGAGCAAACTGTGTTATATGCAAACTGTTTCCTCCCACTTTCTTCCACATGTAAATAATTTCACTGAAATTGGTTCTATTATGTCACAACACTCTGCAACCGGGTGACAGAATTATGAAGAACAACGGGGCTGGTATACAGCACTTTAATCAGAAAACACAAGAGGCATTAAGGTGCGACAGAGTGAGTTTCAAACATCTAATAAGTGAACAACTACAATTCTGAAGTTGAAAGGATGTAAAACTAAGATGCAGCGTGATGGCTAAAACTAAGGGCTCAGGAGTCAGTCTATCCCAAGTTCAAGTTCTGATTCCGTCATTTCCTAGCCCTGTCCTTGGGCAAATTAATTAGATTCCCTGAGTCTTTCTCTCACACTCATAAAACAAGAACAATGACCTCCAGAAACTAGTATCTAGGAGAAAGACAGTGATAGTAAAACGCTGAAGAATTATGTAAGCTTGCAGTCAAGTTGCTGGGAATTCCAATGCAGGCTTCCCACTGACTAACCTACCCTGTGACCTCGGGCAAGTCATTTAACTTCTCAGTGTCCATTTTAACATCTATTAAATGACATTACCAGAATCAACTTCAAAGTATTACTAAGTTTAAACAAGATAACCGTATTATCATGGCTACTTGCAGCAGCTGAGTGATATCCTGCGAAGCCAGTGAGTACCTAAAAGCCTACTGAACTCCCCAGCCCAGTACCAGGGAGGCTTCAGACTAGTGGAGATTCCAAGGGCCCCTAAGTCCCCACCCCCTTCAGAGGCCTCTAGAGAGATGGCTTAGACACTAGCTTGTCTCAGACTCTAGTAACCAGACAAGCACTTATAAATGCCACAGGGAATGAGCAGTAAACTTAGGCAAGAGAGGAAGATGGCGGCCACCTCCATAGCTGTTCAGGGAGTGGGGCTGGCACCAGCCTGGAGGACAGAGGCCATCACTCCAGAATGGGAAAACTGGGAAGGCAACACAGGGACCACCATCATGGTGGAGCAGTCTGACAGGGGCGTGGCTCTGGGGGCTGATTCCAAAACCACTGCTGGGCCCTACATTGCCAGTGAAGTGACTGACAAGCTAACTCCTATTCACGACCACATTGGGCTCAGCCACTGATCCCCAGGCAGTAGCTGATGCTGCCACTTGTCAGCTTGGTTTTCACAGCACTGAACTGACTGAGCCTCCGCTGGTACACACAGCAGCCAGTCTCTTTAAGGAGATGTGTTGCCTATATCTCCTGGGACCCTCGAGGAGGCGGCCAGGTGTACTCAGTGCCCATGGGTTAGGTATGATGGTGAGGTAGACCTCTGCCACTGGAGGCTCTGGGAGTTCCTGTATCTATGGCTATGTTGATGCTACCTACTGGGAAGGCACAACCAGGGAAGTGTGTCTGCAATTCACTGCCAATGTTCTCGCTTTGGCCATGGAGAAGATGGCTCCAGGGGAGGGGTGATCTGCCTGGCAGCTACTGCATAGTCAGGGGTAGAGCAGCACGTACTTTTGGGAGACCAGATACCTAAATTCAACATTGTCACGTTACCACCCCCTGAATCCTGGGATTCTGGTACGCATTAAGAGATATTCCATACCAGGCTTGGCGCGGTGGCTCAAGCCTGTAATCCCAGCACTTAGGGAGGCCGAAGAAGAGGATTACCTGAGCCCGTGGCTTCCAGACCAACTTGGGAAACATGGTGAGACCTTGTCTCTACAATAAAATAAAAAAATTAGCCAGGCA